AAAAAGTTTAAAATTCTGCGCCAAAAAGTTTAAAATTCTGCGCCAAAAAGTTTAAAATTCTGCAAAATTCTGCATATTTTATTTGTCAAAATACCACAATATAATCACGCCAGTTTCAATTATTTTGGTAATTTATTTCAAAATACCTGTCGGCAAGTACATCTGTAACAATACAGACAACGAAAAAGATTCAGGAAATGTTTTTTTGACAAAGAGATTCCTTACTGGGCATATTAATACAGAACTCAGAGGAATTCACTTAATCTCCCCTACCAAACCATATTTCCTGCCCCCCTCAAAAGCTGTGCAAAGGCTTGGGGGAGTCAGGGGTAATGGAGGAGCTGAGGGAGAGAGAAGTAATTGCTGGGAGCCTGGAGGTGAAGCTGAAGGGTTGTTGGTTGTGGGGGGCGGGGGGAGAAGTATGGAACTATTTGTGGGGGGGGCAGAGGGATTGTTAGGGAGTTGGAAAGCCTCCCCCATGCAGACCCTGGTTGACCCCAGCCTCTCACATTCAGTCAGGCACATCTGCCCCTGTCCCAGTGTGTCCTTGCACCCCCACTCAGCCACCCCCTGTCCCTGTTCCCATGTGTCCCTGCACCCCTACTCAGCCACCCCCTGTTCCCAGGTGTCCCTGCACCCCCACTCAGCCACCCCCTGTCCCCATCCCCATGTGTCCCTGCACCACCACTCAGCCACTCCCTGTTCCCATGTGTCCCTGCACCCCCACTCAGCCATCCCCTGTTCACATGTGTCCCTGCACCCCCACTCCCATTCAGCCCCTGGCTCAATGCTGTTACCCCATTAGCTCTGTGCCCCTGCCCCCTTCTGTCCCCCACTAGTCCTTCTGAACCCCAATCTATGTGATCCCTCCAGCAGCCCTGTGTGCCCCACGCTGTCCGTCCCTCCTCCATATCCTGTGTCTCTTCACCTGGCCCCATGGGGAAGGCAGCCTCTCCCTCTCTCTGGCTGGCTGCTCCGGCCTGTGAGCCAGTTGCCCTCTCTTCTGGTGCCACAGCAGCCCCTGGTGGATGAAAGGTATAACTGCAGTGCCTCTCTGGCAGAATCTATTTTCTGGACAGGGTACTTAGCTAGATCTCACCAATGCAGAGTAGAGAGAGAGACAATTACAGCCCGTGTCTTACAGACAATACTTCTGTAACACCCCCCAAAATGAATTAGCCTTTTTTTGCAACTGCGTCACATGTTTGGCTCATATTCAATGTGTGATCCACTGTCACCTCCTGCTTCTTTTCAGCAGCACTACCACATAGCCAGTTATTCCCCCGTTTGTAGTTGTGCTTTTGCGTTTCCATCCTACGCGATGTACTTTGCTCTTGTCTTTACTGAATTTCATCTTGTTGAATTCAGACCAGTTCTCCAATTTGTCAAGCTCATTTTGAATTCTAATCCTGTCCTCCAAAGTGCTTGCAACCCCTCCCAGCTGGGTGTCATCTGCAAATTTTATAAGCATCCTCTCCACTCCATTATCCAAGTCATTAATGAAAATATTGCACCCAGGACAGACCCCTGAAGAATCCCACTAGTTACATCTGCCCATTCTGACAGCGAACCATTGATAACTGCTCTCTGAGTACAATTTTTCAACCAGTTGTGTACCCGCCTTATAGTAATTTCATCTAGACCACATTTCCCTGCAAGGAACAGTGTCAAAAGCTTTACTACAATCAAGATATCTCATGTCTACTCCTCCCCCCCAGCCACACAAGGAGAAGTGGTAGATATGATAAATTGTCCTTGTTTTATAGATGGGAAACTGAGGCACAAACTGCCTAGGGTTATACAGTGAGTCAGTCGCAGAGATGAGAACAGAATCCAGGAATCCCAACTCTCTGTCCACACCCGCTCTAAACACTAGACCCCACTTCCCTTTCACAGATGGTAATAGAACCCAGGAGTCCTGACTCTCTCCCACAACCTGCTCTAACCCCCACAGATCCTACTCCCTTCTCAGAGATGGGAACAAACAAGGAGTCCTGGCTCCCAGCCCCCTGCTCTAACCACTAGACCCTGCTGCCTCCTTTGTTGTATAAACCCAAGGTATGATTTACCCTGGAAAAGAGGTTTTAAGTCTCCCAGGAGCCCTATGGAGGCCTCGCCCCCTGGGTGTGCGGCTGTGAGGGCCTGTTCCCAGTTGCCTGGCTCCCTGAGGCGCTCTCTCAGTGCCGGGGATACTGAACGCTGCTTTCCTGCCTAGGTCATCGCGCGAGACGAGGAATCAGGGGAGACCACCAACACGACGGTCAACGTGGAGGTGCTGCGGCCGGGCCAGGCAGGTACGGAGCCGGCGGGACGCCCTGTGGGCCGGGTCTGTCTCCAGGGACGCAGCCATCTGAGGCCAGGCAGCTGAAGCTCTGGGGATCCAGTCTGGCCCCTGGGCAGCGGGGGCCGGCCACCTTTGGAGACACTCCACCCCGAGGCCCCGCTCCCACTCGTCCTCTTTGCCCCGAGGCCTCGCCCGCCCTCCGCCCACATGGGGGCCTCACGGGAGAGGGTGGGGCCTGGGGGAGGGGGCAAAGAGGAGCTTGCAGCGGGTGGGGGGAGCCTAGGGGAAATGGGGGGGCGAGCGGGGCTGGGGGTGGAGCTTCGGGGGGAGGAGTCTGAGCAGGGGCGGGCCTTGGGGCGGGGCCATGGTCCAGATGCGCTCAGCCTCCCCAAATGGAGGAGTCACACACCTCCCATGGTCTGGTCCATGGGGACCTGGGTGGCCCCATCAGCACTGACCCATGCATCCCCAGAGGAGATCGCCGGGGAGTGCCCCCCTCCCCCAAGGGCAGCTCTTCCAGCCAGGAAACCAACGGGACGGTCGCCACAGCGGGTGGGGGCCCAGAGCCCTCCCCCATCCAGGCCAGGAGGTTGGCTGCGAGACACGGGCGTGCAGGGTCCCAGATGCGGCTGCTGCTGCTCCGGGAGCCCCTCTCTGAACGGGTCCCTGCCCTTCCCCCCCGCAGTGCCCGTGGACCCTTCCGAAGCCGGGCAGAGCCAGGGCCCGCTGGACGTGGGGGTCCTCGCCGGCAGCCTGGGGGCGCTGCTGCTGCTCACCGCCGCCATCCTCCTCCTCCTCGTGCACGCCATGAAGAAGAGGCAGCGCCATCAGCAAGCCCTGGAGAGGGCCTCCCTGGCCATCGAGAAGCACCCCAATGTGGTAAGGACCCCCGGAGCGTGGCCCCCTGCCCCCACTTCTGCTGGCTTTGCAGGCACTGGGGGGGCGCTGGGCTGCCAGGTGCCCTGGCCAGCCCCGCTAGGCGCTCTCACCAGGGCAGGGAGCACGTTTAGTTGGCTCGGGCTCCTCCCCGGGAGCCCAGGCCGGCATGTGCCCGGGCTCACTCTGGCTGCCTTGCCTGCGTGGACGAGGGGCTGCAGAGTCCTAGGGGTGTTCCCTGGTGCGGCTGAGGGTGACTTTTGGAAGCCTGCCCTGTAGAGAGTGTTCTGTGGGGGAGAAATTCCCCCTGGGCATGGTGGGGGGCAGCGCCAAGGCAGGGCACCGGCTGACATATGGAGGGGCCCCCCTGGCACGACTGGAGACAGCCCAGCCGTTCCCACGAGGAAGACTGTGGGGGGCCTTTCGGGGGGGGGCCCTGTCTTTTGAAGCCTCTTGGCTGTCCAGGGCACACATCCGCCAGCCAGATGTCCAGCACACCCCATACTTTGTTGCTTACATCAGGGCCCCCCGGATCCGGAGCTAGCTTCTGGGAGATCCTGCCCCGGCAGGCTGGGGCATGTAGGAGGAGCGGTTGGTCCAGCAGAGGATGGTCCGTGGCAGCTGGAGAACCCCTGGCTGGCAGGATGGGTGGGGTCCAACCGCTGTGGTTTCCCCACCCAGGTCTCCTCCTGAGGCCAGGCTACGAGGGTGCAGGGGTGGGCCTGCTGCTCTCCCAAACACCTCCTCCCCGAGGCTGGGCAGCAGGAGACCCCGGGCCTGACGGGAGAAAAAGATACACCCGCCCCTAGCCGGGTCCCTGTCTCCTACCCCCAGCGACTGGGAGTCGGGAGCCAGCTGGAGAAATGCCGTGGAGAGCAGGTACCCCGTCTCGGGGGCGTCACGCCCATGGCCAGTGACAGCCTGATGTGCTGCGTGCCCAGCCCAGGTGCGCACCGGGCCCAGTGCTGCGTCTCGCCCTCTGCCTCGAGGGCACTGGGGGGGATTAGCTGGAGAGCGCACGCTGAGCAATGCTCCGGGCAGGGGTCTAACGGCGGGCACGTAAAGCTGAGCCCCGCTCTCCGTTAACTCCTCGCTGCAGGAGTCCAGTGCCCGGCGCCCGGGGCCAGGCAGGGGCAGGAGAGGGAAGTAGGTGCTGGGTGTCTGGCCCTTGTTCGGGCTCTGTGCTGGACAGACACGGCCCTGGGACCTCCCCGGTACCGCTGAGCACAGGGCAGCGTGAGGAGGGGGCTGGGGTGGGGGCACTCAGAGCTTGTCTACTTGAACACTTTGGGTACGTCGCCACCGCATTGTAAACCCAGGGCAGGGGCACCTGGGCTTGTGAATTCCCTGTGTCCAAGCCCGCGCTTGAGTTTCCACACTGCAGTGTGCACCCGGGGCTCACAGCCGCCCCAACGCGCCCACGCTGCAGCGTGAACCTGGGGTAACAGCGGCCGCACCCGGGGCTCACAGCCGCTCCAACACGCCCACGCTGCAGCGTGAACCTGGGGTAACAGCGGCCACACCCGGGGCTCACAGCCACTCCAACACGCCCACGCTGCAGTGTGAACCTGGGCTCAGGGCTGTCCTTAGGCATACGCAGCATACCCGGCTGTGTAGGGCACCCAAAAATTTGAGGCACCACCCTCGCTTGGTGCGGCACGGACTCCTCTCCAGCTCCTCCCCCGTGCTGGGTCGGCAGGCTTCTCTCTCATCCAACCCCCTGGCCCCTCCCCACCACCCACTCCTCATGGGCTGAGGGCTTGAGCTCGGGCGGGGCATAACGGGGCCAGGAGCAAAAGTTTGCATGTGAGTGAGCAGGGGAGCCGAGCCGGGCCAGGCCGGGAACAGAGCGGGGGCGGTGTGATGAACTGGGTCTGTTCTTACTGGGGTGTGTGAATGCTGACAGGGGAGTGTGGCTGGATAGTCTGCATTGGGGGATGGGAGTCTGAGTCTGCCCGAGGGCGAATACCTGGGCGTGTAGCATGGGAGCCCAGGAAGGGGTTGGCGGCCAGGTGACTCCTTAGCCCGGGAAACTGAACAAAGGCTGGGGGAGGGGTCGCTGAAGGCAGTGTGCTGGAAGCGGGCTGGAGAGATGGCTGGGAGGCAGAGATGGCTCTGACCCCCCCCCCAAAGGGGGGTGGGCTGGGATGCCCTGGGACCCCAA